GTTCTTTTTCTGTAGGTGCAGAGCTTCTAATTGTTTCTGTTTTAAAAATGAAAACATTCCAAGCTTAGTCTGTAAGTTAGAAGATTTCTAACCATTCGAAAGAGGTTCTGGAACAGTTATATTTTGCTTGGAATACAGAAGACAAAAAAGAAACGAGGAATTAAGATTTCTGGTACTTTGCAAAATCCACTTTTGATGGCTTCCTCCAATTTTTGCTAAGATATTAAGTTGCTTCACTAAGCTGCTGGTTTCTACTGTAGTGGATGCTGTGTTTTCTTCCATTGTTTTGTTGTGTCCTCAGTGAAAATAACTTCATCTGTCTGGGTTTATTTCAAAGCAAATTAGTCATCCCTAAGGAATGCTGGTTAGCCAAAGTCTGTTTTCTGCAAGTCCTTTTTGCTGGACATGAATTTTGCTATTCTTCCTTAATTCTTTTTTAATAGAGTCTTCTGTCATCCCTTCTTTAATTATGTCCCTGATCAATATGAGGTGGAGAGGCCAGTAATTACCTGTTCATTCAGTTTACCCTTGTAAAATTCATGGTATGGTGTTAGTTTTCATTAGATCTTCAAGATCCACCAAATACGTGAAGGCATAAACTGTGCTCATAGTGTAGAGAGCTTTTCAGGCAGGTTTAAAGGTTATTTCAGTATATCAGAATTCCAGTCCCGGTCTTCTGTTAGATCTTGCTGATTGAAGTCTGAGTACATTATGGCATCCAAAGGAGGGCTGCAAAGATGGGGAAGGGTCTGGAGGGCAATGTGTGTGAGGGGCAGCTGAGCCAGGAGTTGGACTCTGTGATCCTTATGGATCCCTTTCAACTTGGTATGTTCTGTGATTTGGTAGCTACTCTTCAATGACTTCATGCATCAATGTTATTATAATGAATTGCTATCTCATGGTAATTACCTACAAGGAACATAGTGAAACAGAGCTTTGAGTGTTATGTTTTCTTCCAAAATTTATCAAAATACAGAAGGGTTGTTGTTAGTGTAAATGTCTTGGCATTTGGTTGCCTAAAATATCTGTTTTCTGGAGGTCCCAATGCTGCTGTGCCAACCAGAGCTGCTTGAGATGGAATCATTTCCAAAGGTAACCTGTAAGAGAACAGTGAATTTTTAGGGATCCTGTTCTGAACATGATTTTCAACTGTTCATCCTTCATCATTCACCTTAATTCAGAGTTGGTGAGGATAGTTAATACCTATGTACAGTTTTTAATTAATGCAATAGAACTTACTATGAGCTGAAGCCTCCTATGTAAATCCTCAGAAGAGGCACAAATGAATCATAGAATCACAAGGTTGGAAAGGACCTACGAGATCATCTAGTCTAACCATCTACCCATCACCATTACTACCCACTAAGCTACAAAACCATATCTCATAGCACCTCATCCAGATGCTTCTTGAACACCATCAAGAATGGTGACCACACCACCTCCCTGGGCAGGCCTTTCCAATGTCTGACCGCCCTGTGAGAGAGAAAGTTTTTCTTTATATCTAATGTAATCTCCCCTGGCACAACTTGTGGCCATTTCTTCTGTCACTCTGTGGCCAGCCATGTTTTCTTGCCTGTGTTTTGTTCATAGCCTTGTTCAGCTTCTCACGAGGCTCAACCAAAAGTTGAAGTTGTGGATCTGGAGAGGTACAGCATGTGCAGTCAGTGATCAGACATAGAAGCAAACTCTTCCTCCATTGTAGTTCAGACAGACAGTGTACTGCAGGCTGCTGCCAGATCGATGTGATAGACAGGCCACATGTACTGATATGACCTTTCAAAATTGGAGAATTTAATTACGCCTCCAAATCCATAAATATTGCCTTTTTAATACAACATTTATATTAATTTTCTTTTCCAAAGAGCAGCTGGATGAAGAATGCTTTGTTCTCTTGCTTTATGTACAGCTTTATTTGTTTGACATCAATATAAATACAGTACAAGGATGACAGAATTCGACCACTGAACAGAAAGTCAAAAGTCCTTGTTACAGATGAATGGGATGTTGCAAGCTTTACGGTCACTCATACATCTTGCTGTATGTCCATGTGATTAATGCCTAACAAGGTTTTTGATTGATGGCTTAGCAACTGCTAACCAGGTGTTATGGGACAAAATGCTGAAATCCCTTATTTCATTGTTAGAGAAGGCTCTGGTTCACTTGGATAGACAAAGATTTTTTTTTTAAGTGGATTTTTAAATAGTTTTTAATAAGTACATGGCTGTGCTACAGCTGCCATTGGAACATGATACTTAATAAATTCATCTGTAAGCACTAACTTGGATAACTTGGACTGCCTACATGGAAGGAGTAAAAGTGAGGCTGAGGATGTTGGGCCAAGGCCATGTAGGGTACAGAGAAATGACAAAGTAAGTCTTCAGGCTGTTTTTGAGGCAAGATTTTAAGACTGTCCCACATACAAATAGGATTGCTTAAATTATAAAGGTTTTAATCTTCATGCTGGAGTTATGAGCCAAATGCACTGTATGCTGTAGATGTCTCCTGTCTTAACTTCTCTCCTGCTTGGCTGTGCATTGTAACTGCTCAGCCATGCTTACACTTAATGACTTCGTTCTGAAGAATTTATGTAACTGTTGAACACGGGGCACTGGAGCAGAAAGAGCTTTGATCTGTCTAGCGTGGTTTTGCTGCAGTTGGATTTTATAACTTAAAGATGAACTTCGAGAATAGTTACCAAAACCAGCGGTTTTTGCTGCTCTTACAGCTTTTAGCTTTTTAGGGACTGACGATGTCTTGCTCTGCCTGCCTAGCAATGCCATAATTTTCTCTTTTTCCTAAAGTGTGGTGTTGCCAGAACTGTTCTGAGCATCTCACCACAACTGATCTTTTGTTTCTCTGTTTCCCTTTTAACTTTATGCTCCTAGCTCCAACTTCTCTCAGCGTGTTGTAACTTTTAAGTACTGTATTGCACATTTCACGCCTCCTAATCCTGGTTATAAAGCAGCATCAGAATCATGGAACCCATTATCATAGAATGGTTTGAGTTCGAAGGGACCTTTTAGATAGTCTAGTTCCAACCCTCTGCTATAGGCAGGGACACCTCCCACCAGACCACGTTGCTAAATAAGTTTCATCCATAACGTGAGAACAAATTGCTAAGTGTTTTTCTTTTTTTTTTTTTTAACTTGATTAAGTTTGAGGGTTTAATTACATTTTTGTGGTGATTTTAAGGTTGTTAATTCAAGTAGAGGAGATGAAATGCAAATATGCGAGTACAAACGGATTTGGTAAATTACTGTTAAAAATTAGCACGGTGATTATTTTTCCTCCTAACAATGAGCATACATTTTAAAAGCTTGTGCTCAAGTAAAGTTTTAATTGAGATGTTTTAGGAGTTGAACTTTCTTTGCATTGGTATTTTTTTCTTTTTTAAGCAATTCTGAATAATTTCTAATTAGGGGAATGATACCATTTGCCTAGATATTTATTACCAGGCAATTTGTATAGACGTAGCACTGCACTGATGCATTCCTTTCATTACAAACAAGTCTCTTTGAAGGGTTCTGACTTGCTAGTTATTAAAATGGATCGCTTTACTAATAGCCTCCACGTAGGTAAGAGTTTTCTCAATACAAGTAGTGAATTTCTTCACACAGTGTCAAAAGTTAATTATAAGGCATTTCTATCTGTCTTAAGACCCAGAAATTAAAAGTGAATGACTTGGAATCTATTTCTGCTTCTGCCCCATGGAGTTGCCTAAACAGCACCAAATATCAGACCTTGATTTAAGGCTGCAGAGGCTTCACAAAAGGACCCTGTTCACAAACAGACCCCACACCCCCATACTGGATCTATTGAGTTAGAAGAAAGTCAATTTTAAATTAAGTTAGCAGAACTAATGGCTGGGGTATTTGTATTTTCAATGACTTAAAAAAGACGTATGGTTCATTTAGGAACTAATAAAGGGCAATTTTTGCAGCATTTCCAGATTTTTTTCCAACAGCATACATGACCCATACATCCACACAAACCCACACATGCATGTTGTATATTAAGATGTACAAATGTGCATATGTATGGCTATAAATTTTCTACAAATATAAAAGGAGTCTTTGTAACAGAACATATCAATATTGCTGACCTTTATGTTTGTAAGAGCTGTGGCATGTAATCAGTCTATAAAGGCCAGCCAACAGCCCACCCACCATCTCCCTGCTGCTGCTACTGCTGGGAATCAGTATGGGGGAGGGGTGGGGAATTCACAGAATCATCTACTTTGGAAAGACCTTCAAGAATATCCAATCCAACTATCAACCTGACCTACCCCATCCCACTGCAAACTGTGTCCCTTAGTGCCACATCCACTTATCTCTTAACTAACTCCAGCAATTAGGACTCCCCCAATTCCTTGGGCAACCCATTGCAATGCTTCATAGAATCACAGAATGGCTTGAGTTGGAAGGGATCTCAAGGATCATCAAATTCCAACCCCTCTGCTGCAGGCAGGGCGACCAACCTCCCCATTTAATACCAGACCAGGCTGCCCAGGGCTCCATCCCACCTGACCTTGAACACTTCCAGGGATGGATGGGGCATCCACAACCTCTCTGAGCAGCCTGTTCCAGTACCTCACCACTCTCTCTGTAAAGAACTTCCCCTAAATAGAACAAATAGAATCATGCTTGACCACTCTCTGTGAAGAAATTTTTCCTGATACCCAATAAACTCCCCTGGTGCACAGTTTCCTCATGTGCCATCACTTGTCACATGAGAAAAGAGGCTATCATCTCAGGTTAGTCAGGGTTTTGTAGCAAATTCAGTTGATCAAGTAATGCAAGGTGGGCTTTTATCAAAACACTGACATACAGGTCACTAGGGTCTCATGTCTGAAAATACAGCTGGCTTTCTGTTAACTAGAATTTTTGAGATTTTTCATGATTTTTCCAGTCCTGTAGAGTACTTACAGATATTGGCTGTTCACATTACATAATAACGTTGCTTTATCTCGATTGATGTGGTCCTCTCCCTTCTGTTTGCAGATGCTCCTGACAGAATACCTGGATATGAAGAACACCCGCACTGCCTCGGAGCCATCCACCCAGCTCAGCTATGCCAGCTCTGGGAGAGAATTTGCAGCATTCTTTGCAAAGAAGAAGCCACAAAGGCCTAAAAACCCTTTGTTCAAGTAAGTGCTGGGATGATGTTGAAGCTGTGTAATCTTCCTTCATTGCCTTGAATATTGTATGAGCTGGCTGATAATTGCAGTTTCACAGTGTAAGTAGGGTGTAACTTTGGCAATGGAGATTTGATACTCAATGCTGAAGCCTCAGTAAGGTCACTGTTATGGATTTATTGCTGATTTTTAGAGCTTAGCTCTTTCAGACACATCACAGTGTTGGGATCCCTTTACCCAAGCTGCTGCAAAGCATGTGGCACTGTGTTCTGCCTATCTTTGTGCACAGCATGTTCAAGACCTGTGTTAAAGACAGCGATAAAAGGGACTGGACAAAGAGAATTAAGATAACTGTATAATTACTAGATGGACTAAGTGGTTAATCCTATCACTAGCTTCTTTAATTCAGAGTTCAAAGTGGAAAGAAAGAAGTGATTGAGGGGAGACCGTAAGAGGATGAAAGGGTAGGTGGACAAGGGAGGGATTTAGGGTTCTGAATTTGATGTGCACGGATGAGGAGTGAGGAGGAATTGTTGGTGAGCAGAGGAGAAACCACCTTGTTAATACACTGAGATTCAGGTGAGCTTTGCTGAATTTTCATCTCATTTACTGACATCCAGTTTTCTTTGGCCTCTTGAGGGTTTTGAGGAATTACCAAAATGCGTTGTTTTGACAGCAGGGGCTCTGTGCTGAAAGATCATGGTTTTGATCTGATGCTGCAGCTCTGCTGGCGTAACTATGCGTGTGGCTTCCTGAACTCAGCACTGCCAGAATAATCTTTTTAATGACTTTTCTTTTTTCACGACAACACTGTTCTAAAGCAGTTGCTAAGGGAGCATACAAGTTTAATGGTCGATCTGAGGGAAAGGCAGCAAAGGGAGTGGTGTTAGGGAGTATCAGTAGCTTGGGGCAGCAATCTTTCCCCCATGCTCAACTGCAGCAGAAACAGCTTATCTGGTGGGTAGTCTGGACTACAAGCTGCTTGCAGGGCTGTGAGCTGCCTTTCACTGCTCATTAGTTCAGTAGTGAGCATTACAAGGCTTTGCTCTGCCATGTAGAGAGAGTTCAAGTATAAATTAAAAAAAAATATATATGTCTACTGAGATGTTTGCATGAAGGAGGAGGAATTGGAAGTAAGAGCTTGTGGTTTCCCCATTTAGTTTTCTGGAGATGGGCAACTGGGTGACTTGAATATACAAAATCCCATTTGTAAGTTGGAGTAGATCATTAACATGATGGAGAGTTAATGCTCCATCATGAAGTTCCTAGAGGAACTTCAGTAATGGGAAAGGCTGAGTGATTGGAAATAGTAGTAATTGGAAACTTTCAACTCTGTGACCTATTTACAGATTGTTCATTGTGTTTTTTTTTCCAACTAAAACTTGCATCTATCTTGGTTATCCAGAACTTGCTGGAACTCTGCTTTCTTTGCCCTATGTGCATGGATATAGCAGCTTTATTCTCGTAGTACCTCCAGGCTTCAGTTATAAACTAGTCTTTTGCACTTCCCTCTCACAGGTTTAGCTGTCTATATAATCTCTTGTTATTAGGAGGTTAAACATTGTCTGTAGGATGTCAGGGGTATCTCCTGCCACCCTGTCAACCCATGGTTATTCCTCCCCAACTGTTTTTTTAACACTCCCATTGTTATTTGGGTCAAAATTATGCTCTTTGAATTTACCCTGTCTTACAGATCTCTGCTGGAGCAAAATAGGACTGTTCACCTTTTCATTTTGTATCTGTTCTTGGGTGTACTTGGGCGTTTAGGCTTGTGGAATACGGATGCTCTGTTTCACCTACGGCAATTTAAGCCTGTATATTAGTTTGTCAGCAGAGAGTGAAGGTAGGTGTAATTGTTTAAAGTGAAGGTGACTAACCTCATAGGAACAGCATGTCTCTTACCACTCATGGTCCTGTCACCAAGTCATTGCTGGCACTGTGGTGACAGCAGCGTTTATTGGGATCTCTTATTTGGTTATCTGTCTTCTGTCAGCTGTCACCATATCTATGGAAATCTCAGTTGAAATGGAATTTCTCAGTCCACTGAGGGATGTACATGTTTGATGGAGTGTTATTCTTGTCTTCTCTCTCATCTTCAGTGCTTTTCACATCGGCTGCAAGGTTCTTTTTGTGCCTTTCCATTAGCTCTGTCCAAATCAGATGAGCCATCCACTTGTCATCAGAATATCTGCGTTTAATTCCTCCCTTCAGAAGTCTCTTAGGGCAGAGCTCCACCTTGTGTTTTCCTCTCAGCTTGATGCAGGTATTTGTGCTGTGCCCTGTGATAGCTTGTTAAAAGCTAATTTTCTAAATACTGAGTACTTTGGCTAGTTGTGTGCTTATGTGTATGTGTGTGATGTAGCAGTAGTAGAAAGAGTGAGGACTCTTGAATTGGGTCTCGCAGTCTGGAAATCAGTAGCTGGCATTTGGAATAGACTTTGAATCATTCCTTATCCCTAAAATAGGTACAATTTTCATGGTGGAGGGGAAATCTTGATGGGTTTAGTTGTTTAATGTTGATTGAGAAAGTAGAACTTCAGGTGCAGAGTTCTTCGGCAGACCAGATAGGTAGAGTCATCGTAAGCCTGGCTTTCTTTTCCAAAAAGGTGCCACGTGCATAGAAGAAACATGTGCATACAATTGTAGAACGGACATTTAAAGGTCATTTCATCCAATACTCTTGCAATCAGGGGCACCTACAGCTTGGTCAAGTTGCTCAGTCTGCACCATCCTGATCTTGAGAGTCTCCAGGGATGGGGCATCCACCTGCTTTCTGGGCAGTGCTTTCTGCTGCCTCACCACCCTTATTGTAAAAAACAAAAAACAAAAAAACTTTTTCCATATATCCAGTCTAAATCTCCTCTCTGATAGTTTGAAACCATTTCCTCTTGTCCTGTCACAACTGGCACTGCTGAAGAGTCTATCTCCTTCTTTCTTATAGCCCACTAGCCTCATATTTGAGTTGCCATCTCCCTTGCAGATCAGATTGACAAAACCGAGATTGAGCATTCTTGGGAAAGGAATGGATTGTAGAAGCAGTTGTTGAATACCCAACAAGTTAGTCTTATGCTTGACTCTAAGTGTGTGTAACTCTGGAGGTTGGTGGCCCTGCCTGTGGCAGAGGGTTGGAACTTGATGATCCTTGGGATCCCTTCCAACCCAAGCCATTCTATGATTCTACGTTTTAAAGAACAATACGTGCAAGTTTTGCCACTGGAGGACCAGCATGAGGATTGGAAAGGATTATGAGAGCAGAAACCTTGAGTGGAAAGAGGAGTGTGGAAAAGAATGGATCAAGGAAAGAGAGCTTATAAATGCTCACCTTCTGTGAGCATTTGAAAATGTAAGCATCACACTGTCTATGGGGCACGATACCTTTTGAGCGTCGTCCTGCTTGATACTGAGGCTGATTCATTTATCCTTGGCAGAAGCACCTCAACATCTTGTGGTCTTCACCATGAATTCTTGAGTACGCTTTGACAGTTTGAAAATGCTTTGTTCCCACTGACAGTGGCAGAACTGCCCAAGCTGGATACAGAGGGCTGCTGCTGACCTCAGGCTCCTTGGGTTCCTTGGTCATGGGACATTAGACCACAGGAACATCCAGCTCAAATCATGGCAAGCCCAGAGCTGTCCTGAAATGCTGCAGTGTCATTTCTACTCTCAGTGACAAACAGTGTGTTAATGGGGCTCCATTGGTTGAAAAGTGTCTCTTCTCAGATTGATCCTTGTAAAGTATTGGAGCCATATGATGAATAATAATTAATTTTTAGTTTCAATGAAAGTATTAGTTAATAATTTGTGGCTTTACATATATGCCTGTTAACAATTTATATGATACTAACATCACTTTGGTTTGGATTTTACCAGTGTTTTGGGGCCATTCCTATGTAAAATGATTGTTTCCAGCTGATGGCTCGGAGGAGCCACCTCCATGCCATGCAGGCAGCTCTGTGTCATTTTCCAGCAGAGTTGCACTGATTGGAAGTGCCAGAATTTGGTTGCAATGGTGATCAGATTTTATAGGGAAAGAGTGGTTTTGTCCGCATTGATCATTTTGCTCAGATATGCAGGGAAGTGCATTTTGTTTAGAGCTGACTGGTGCTTACAAGAAGGCTGACTGGATTTATATATTTTTTAAATTACAGGTTTGAGTCCTCCTCCCATGCTATTAGCATGAGTGCCTATTTGCGTGAGCAGAGGAGGGAGCTGTACAGCAGAAGTGGAGAACTTCAAGGTATGAAAATAGATACTATGAAAGTTTGAATAATTCTGTTATGTAGTAACTGAGCATCTCATCTGTGCTACGTCACAGAATTAATACCTCTTTAGTTTGCCACGCAGCTTGTCTAAATCACTCCAGTTTGGTTTATTCTTGCTCTACGAAGCACCTGGGCTTCTATTTATGCCCTTTGCACTTCCAGCTAAAGGTTCTTGTCATAAAACAATAGGTGAAATATGAACAGTCTTTCTGTGAGCATTGCGTTTGGGTACTTGGAGTTAATGTTTGCTTCTTTATCTGCAATTTATTTCCCTGTGTCATGCACTGAATGTTATACTTCTCCTGGATTACTGTGGGAGCGAAACTCAATCGCCTCACATTTGAAACATGAATTTCCATTGGATGGACTGAAGTGACCGATTCTTCTTTTATACAGCACTTAAAGATGAAGAGTTAAAGTGTTTGAAAATGGTGAATGTGAGGCGCTGGACTACTCGTGTTGGTTTATATTACTTGTGACAGATGTTCTTTGTACACAGAAAAATGTTCTCTGAGCATGGTGTCATTTCATGTATTTTTTCCTGGATGTCTTAATTCACTGTGAGGTCTTAGTTTTGAGAGCAACAGCGGGGAAATATCTTAAGACTGCTGTGCATTGTATAGCAGGATTAATTTTTTTCTGCATCATTCATTGGAGTTTCCTATTGGACTAATCAAAAAAAGAATATACTGTAGTCTCTGAAGAGATGGACAAGGGTAGAATTTCTCCCTGAAATCTTGCACGTGGTAATTCTCAGATGGCTTCTGTTTGAGGATGATTGGTAACTTACAGTTGTAATACTGGATGCCTTTGTGTTCCCTTCTTCCTTTGGTAATTTAGTTATGCTCAACTCCACCCGAAGGAGTGGAGTAAGAAGCACTCAGAGGTGTACAGTGTTTTTGTGGACCAGTTGCTTTGACTTAGGTGCCTTTACAAAGGGGATCTTCATATCAATGCTCAAGTACGTAATGACACTCCGGCTAATGTTCAGACACTTTTCCATTTACTGGAAGGAAGAATCTGAGATAAAAAGACGTGGGCAGCAACTGTCAACTTCAGGACACGATAATCTGACAGCATATAAAAATAAAGTGAAGATACTTGTCTTTCAAATTATCATGTTATGATGATCTTTCAAGACTCAGATTCTCATCTTCGAAGTCTGTCACCTGTACTTGAACTTGGGGTCATCTGAAAGAAGTGATCCAGTTCAGCAGGGTCCTAAGTGTGAGCTATTGTTTGGCACAGATGCTGAATCTTCTCATGGTGCAGTGGCCATTACTGTCACACCAAACTGAGGATGCATTTTTAAACCGTTCCTTTAGGTTTGGAACTTGCTACTGCTGTAGGGCATAGCCGTGTTTCTTAAGAGAGCAACTCCTCATTGATAGAAGACAGTTGTTGAGGCAGCATTTGCCATGAGCTGAATATTGTGAGAGTTTTCAAGAGAAGAGTGTGAAGGAGATGTATGCAGACTCCCAGCCTTGGAGCTAGTGTGCGGTTGGGAAGAATAAAGCTTATGAGCCGACAAAAGAGGAAAGGACAAAATACAGGAATTAGCATGGATAGGGATAAGATGGTATTGCCCTTTATGGATGAATTGGAAGAGCTGGAACGTGATGCAGTAGGTGACAAAAAGTCAATGTAGGGAGTCAACTGGGACAATGGATGAGATGACTTTGCTAAGAAATCTTTGCTGTTTAACCATCAAGAAAAGTTTCCCTTTGAACTTTATGTTAAAAATGTACTATCTTCTCTTTCTATTATAAGCTGCTGTTCCCTTTTAGGTAGCTCATTAATCTTCCTGAATCCCAGACCTCAGCAAGATCTGCATTTTGATTTTTATCCCTTTTAAAGAGGAATACAATTTAATTGTTCAGTCAGGTTACTGGAAGGCAGGCGTGTGACACTCTCTCTTCTGTGAATGCCATGCAGTTTCTCTTCCTTGACAGCCTTATCCACAGGGATGATGTATCAGTGGCAGCAGGAGGAGGGTGGCTTGTTAGGACATCTTTTTCCTGAAAAGATCTTCAAAGAAACATGTGCATAAAATAAAATAAAGAAAAACTTATAAAAGTTTGGTCCGTGCCAACTTTTTGAAGTAAGAATTCAGTTTAAATGGCCTTAAAATGTGCCAAGATCTGAGCAATGCTTTGTCATTAACCTCTTCCTTTTGGACTGAAATAACGCAGTGCGTAAAGCAGACATTATCCCTCAGTGGGAGAAAGGGAACTTCTGTAAGTGGTTTGGAGATGGAAGAAATAGTTCTGGCACCTTATTCCCCTGGAACAGTAAGAGGATGACTTAGGCCATGTATTTTTCCCTTTAAGTTGGACACACAAGTCATTTGACAGCTGTCATTAACAGAAAAAAACAGAAGCAAGTACTTAACTGCAGTGTCTCCTTATAGACTGACACAGATGTGCTGCCCTGGGATGCTGTCAGAAGTACAATGTCATTAAAAAAAAATTACAAATGAAAAATGATCATTATAAAGTTTCTCATTTTTTTTTCTTGCTTTTTTTTTTTCCAAGAGTATGCCTTGGCCATGTGCTAGCAAGGCAATTTACATTTTCCTTCTTTGAGTCCTTCTGCCCATTGTCAAATATGATGTTCTTTTTATCATAAAAGTATAGAATGGCCTGGGTTGAAAAGGACCACAATGATCATCTAGTTTCAACCCCCCCTGCTATGTGCAGGATCACCCACCACCAGACCAGGCTGCCCAGAGCCACATCCAGCCTGGCCTTGAATGCCTCCAGGGACGGGGCATCCACAGCCTCCTTGGGCAGCCTGTTCCAGTGTCTCACCACCCTCTGTGTGAAAAACTTCCTCTGATATCTAACCTAAACCTCCCCTATCTTAGTTTAAAACCATTCTCTCTTATTTATGTGAAGTCTTAAAGAATGGGGGTATATTTCAAAAGCAAATACATTTATTGCAGGAGCAGCTGAATGACTACTGCTCGGTTCATTGCAGATGTGTTCTTTTCTCCCTTAATAGTTCTTCTTCATTAGCTACACCTCTCACCGTGTCTGACCAGCAGATTCATCCCCCTCACTTCTTTGCTCCCAGCACATGCTTGTGTCCCCAAACTACCTGCTAAGCAAAAAGCAGCCAGTGCCATGGCTGGATCCAGCAAAGTATACACCATGCAAGCAGCCCTGTGCCATGGAAGCCCTGTGCTGGTAGGTCCAGCAGCATGGAGGGCTAATGAATACTCACTGAAGCTCTTTCTTCTCTGGAGGCACACATTTATCCCACTGTCAGGTGCAGGGCTGTCTGTTTCCACAAAACCTCTAAGAATTTATTACTTTTAAGATCTATTCCCTGTCACGTTTGGCTGAAATTGGCTCTCCAGCTCAGTTGTTGTGAGGGTGGAACAGACAGAAGATCAGATAACTCTTCTTTTTGTAGGAAACTTGGCTAAAACATTGCTGTATTTCATTGCAGAGGTGGCTGCTTGTCAGTGACTGTTGGAATGAATCCCGTGTGTGCCTCTTATTTCATTCCACTATTGCCTTCAATTACCAACAAATCCTTGGGAACAGAAGGAAAGTGTGGTCTCTTCGTGTGGATGGGGGGAGTCAGGGACTGCAAGAAGGCAGTAGATGGCTGGAGATGGTCTGCAAGGGCCTTGTTTTTTTTCTCATTAAGTTGGGTGTGATTGGTGTCAGGAAAATGTGGCTTCAAGAAAAAATTAAGAGGAAAACCCACTTGTAGTCTGGATAACATCTCTGCATGTCTGGATTTCTGGATTGGTATTCTGGCAATGTTTAAAGGCACCAACCCTACTTTTAATTACATTGTACTGAGCATGATACACATGTGTTGTGCGTACCTAAAAGGCTTTCATGTGGTCCAGCAGCCTTCACCAGCACAGCTCCACTGTACAAGGATCTGGAAATCTGTCTTCCAGTTATTTAAATGTCTAAATTTTGCAAAGCTGTGGCCGGAGCTGTGACAGGAGCACTTTTTTCTAGATGTGTCAGGTATTGTTTCAGAGTCTTGTGGCCATAGGGAATTAACACAGCTATGTTCACTGTGGCCTCAGTTGAATTTATCAGCAGAAATGGTAAAAGATGTTTTTATACTCTGTGAAAATCTGTACAGCTTTGAGGGTGCTGATCAGCATGGAAATAGCATCCGGCTTCTGTTATCTCTACGAGTGCAGGCCCTGGTAATTCCTATTGAGGTCAGTTTTGCCTGTGTTATACATCTGGGACATTTTTAAGAATGAAACGTGAAGTGCTCCTGAGCAGCTGTTGTTCCTATGGATGTTAATGGACTCCACAGCTGCTCATCACCTCTTAAAATTTGGGCTTCTTAATGCTTTCACCCCAGAAGATCAGCACAATTCAAAATTAATTAAACCTCTCCAGGCCTTTGTGAAGTAGGATTTTACTTTGAATGTAGCTGTGCAAGCTGAGTGATGAATCGAATCATCCTGGGAGGGGTGGTAGAGCAGAATTAGTCCTAATTCCAGTCCCAGTCTTCTATTAGATAGCACTGATTGAAGTCTGAATACATTATGGCATCCAAAGGAGGCTACAAAGATGGGGAAGGGTCTGGAGGGCATTGTGTATGAGCCAGGAGTTATTCTCTGTGATCCTTATGGATCCCCTCCAACTTGTGATTCTATGATCCCTTGCATTGCCCCATGAGAAATCACTGCCTGCATGTACTTTTGTTTCCAGGATGGTATACAACTCTGTACAAGAACTGTTTCATAATTTCTACAAGGCCAAGTGCAGGGTATTGCACTTGGGTCAGGGCAATCCCAGATACGTCTAGAGACAGGGAGAAGGACTCATTGAAAGCAGTCCTGCAAGGAGAGACTTGGTCCTGGTAGATGAAAAACTTAATATGAGCCAGCAGTGTGATCTTGCAGCCTGGAAGGCCAACTGTATCCTGAGCTGCATCAACAGAGATGTGGCAGCAGGGAGGGAGGTGATTGTCTCCTCTACTCTGCCCT